CTAGCCTAGTGAAGTTCCCCAATGTCTCAACCACACCCGCATCCATTGTATACAAAAATGCATATTAGTGTAGAAGTAGTGAAGTAGATTAAGACGATTTCATAGTGATGAGGATTAAGGAGATCTTTGTAGATCTTCAGTTAATTCATTGTGCATTTTGCCCTCAACTACGCACGCTTCCTCCCGCAGTGCTATATAGATATACTTGTGATGTGGTCAACAAGTGCCCCACGCAGCGCATTATACTTTGTTACGCCTTCGGTTGTCTTTTTCATACGAACGAATCGATCAAACCGAGAATCGTCTTCGTCGATGGTCGTTGTGTCGACTTCAAAGTGACCGCAGTCTTGGCCACGCGGCATGCTGTGGCCTTACGCCCCTGCGCTTCACTGATCGTCTTGACAAAGAGGGTGCTCGTGGGGTAGATGCTGTCCGCAAGAAATAGGGGGTCTGGAAACTAGGTGGTGATTAGGATGTTAAGTACAGTACGTCAAATTTCTTCTCGTCGTTAATAGTAAATTTGTGCCGCGTTGCAGGGACACATAGCCAATTTGAAATGAGCGGGATCTACAAAGTATGTGAAGCTACATGTTATGAAGTAGCAATGCTGCCTAACCGGTTAAAATGTTGATATCGTTGTTCGACCCTGCTCTACTGATGTACGAGTACCAACACCAGAGGTCATGGGACGACACAGCCTCAATGAAGATTGTAGGCTTGCCATCCTTCCCTTGACTGACCATGCCATGCAGTGGGGCGGTTTTTCCAAACAATGTGAGTACAATCTATGGACCCGAACAATCCAGGAAACCCGCGCTCACTGTTGATACGCAACTCTCTTTCAATATCGCTGCGTGTTGGCTCTCGACGGTACTCGTCGTTAAATACAGCAACGACGGCACCACATAACCTGTGTAATATTTAAAATTTTGAACAATTCACATTAAACAACATTAACCTTTTCATGCACTGTAGCTATGTACTCTCGCTGCACCTGAGGTACTCATCGGTACAGTAGCATTGACAGCAGATCCGTAGCAGAGTAGTCGCAGTGTAATAGTTTCCTTTTGCAATGTCGAAAGGCCTAGAACAATGTTAAAACGTTTTTGGTCGAGAATACCTTTGCGTCCAACTGCATCGTACGATTGCACAAAGTAGCTGTCATGGAGGTCAACGGCATGCACAAGCTGTAGAAATAAGTCGCGTCTCATGCGAAATCGACGGCGGAAAGGGTGAGCTCCATAAACGGGCGATTCACAGAAGTAGTCGTTGCACAAGCGGTAGTGGGCTGTACAGAGGATTCGTAAGAATACAGTTAACTGAGGTACACTATACGATACATTCGACGTGGCCGCGGGCAATGTTTCTACACTTTCCAGTACGGAAGCCACCCCATGTGGGCTTTTCGGCATCATCGAGTACCAAAGCTTCAGCCATGTCGTCATCGGAGTCCCAATCGTCGACACTGGTGTGCATGGCAAATGGTTTTAATTCTGCAACCTCCAAATTTACAATGTCGTGATTGGTAAGTTTATTCAGCCAATCGGAGTCTCTTTGATGATATAGAGTAGGCGATGGTGTTGTCTTGATGGGGTTGGTCGAGCACCACAGTAAATATGACGACAATTTTTTCGACAATTATTGTTGTGTTTACTGTCGATGAGGTGGAAATGCTCTTAGGAAATTTCATGTTTTCGTTCGATTGTGAAAAGCAAATTTATATTCATTTGTATTTTTATTAACTTCCACGAAAAGCAATGCTGAGTCAATTTGGCCCTCGAAAATCATTTGTATCCGCATTCAAAAGAGGGGTGACGACAGGTAGGGAGCGCTGGAATTCTCGTTGAATGCTTTCGAATGGCGGTGTCCAATTTGGACACCTCGATTACGACCCACACTGCACCTCTTACCCGACGATAAAGTTGTTAGGTATGCTTCTACTATAACTCTTCATGCTCCCCACGACACCTGGTTTCGTCAGTTGTGGTTTGGGCTCTCGGTTGACAATTGGTGATGGCGCTGGGTTTTCGTGTTTGTATTAGTATTTGTATGCCATGGAATAGACTGCTATGATTGGGTATTTTCATCGTTACATGGGTGGACTCCACGAATCTCAAATTGCTTTTGATTGTTAAAAACCAAAAGCTGGTGGTTTTCGTGACGAAAAGCAGAAAGTGAAAAGTTGAATCTAAAGTGAAAATTGATTTTTTCCTAAATTGACTCCCCTATTAGGCTCTAACCCAGTAACTCGGTTATCAACCAAAAATGCTTCACTTTCCAATACTTATCATGAATATATTTTGTATTTATTTCGTCGCAAGTCAATAACAGAATTATTTGGAATTGATAGATGTTCTAGTACTTAACTCACCACGAAACCCCCGCCGCTTAACGTATACGAATATTACAAAAAACACGTCGTTTATCGTGTAAAATCACGGGTTTAGCACTATATCTTGGATAGATTCACTATGAGTACGGAAACAATACAATAAAATAGGACAATTCAACTTTTGGGCTATTTAGTCCATAGGGATAATCGATGATTGGGACGAAGTTTGACCATGCAGCCACCATGACGACCGCATACACAGCGAGTTCGTTTATCACCACTATCAGTGTGAATTAAAGTTTGTGCCTCCGAGTTGAATCCAGCTTCATCTAGCTGGTGGTGATACCGGTAGAATTGTAGGACAAACCCAACCTTCAATGCAGTACTGCAAAGTCGTAAATGATAAAATGTAAAAAGTACAGTCATCGGTGGGTTTTGAACCGGCTACCTCATTCATGAATTCACCGAACGTTTACCTTCAGGCTATGCTGACACCTTGTATTCTTAGTGTAGTCATCATATCTATACAGCTTCAACATATTATTCGTATGATACCCTAAGGTGGCCCAAATATGGCAGGCAACCTTGCCAACTTCCAACGAGGCAGCAACGTCCAAGACATGCTGTGTGTGTTGCTGCGTGATACACTAGCGCACACAGCTTGGCGTGGACGTTGCTGTCTCTTGGCCGTGTCGAAGGAATGAATACATGCTAGGGTCTTTGGCGATTCGCCAGCGTCCTGGAGGAGGCTGATCACTTGCGTAGATGAGTGTGAGCGTCCAAGCCGTTAACCTCGTGGTGGTTCGATGTGGCAGTTGTTTATGTGTGCGTTACGTGCTATTGTGGGTAGCGCTTACGTGAAATCAGAGCATACAAAAAGGTGGTTTAACAGCTAATGTCAACAAATCTCGTTTGAAAGCAACGGATTCATTGCAGCGACGGGGTCAATAATAGAAATGCAATGAAATTGAAAATGAAATTACGCGGCATTTACAAGCTCGCTATCGCCCAAGCGCGCGCATATGCAGCAGCGCCCGCGAACAAGACTAATCTAGCGGGTGGAGCTTGTGCACGTTCACACCGGGGTGGTTCGTGCAGCGGCCTCAGTCTGTCGGGCTTTCGTTAGTGTGTAGTGTGATTGGGACTTGTCAAAGCCTACGGGTTTGCTATTATGGTCTCGTCGGGTTAGCCTCAGTGGGCTACTGACGCCGAATACGATAGATAGGTTGCATGGAGGCCATCGCGGACCATCAAGTTGTATAGGACGGAGCTTGTTGTGGGCGCTGACAGCGGCAATGTCAACGAGCAGGAGTAGTCCACTCAGTGTTGGGGGACGGCGCGTGCTGAGCGAGCGATGGTTGCGGTGAGCTGTCGTAAGTCGACGACAGAATTATAGATAGCGAGCTTCTTAGCCGTGCCATGCCCTTGGTCGATATTCGGGATGCCGTGTATGGAATAAGGAACTGGCACGCGAGATCGTCGGGCACAGCGGTATACTGTAGTCCGTTTCGTCATCCGTCGTTGGCGGCGACCGTTTGTCGGTGGCGCGTTCGACCAAGCCGTGTCAGTGGGCGATGGTAGCCAATGACGGTTGGGAACAGGTAGGGGTTAGACTGGACGGTGGCAGGCGACGTCATGTCGACGTTGTTCAGGCCAGTAAACCGGTTGTATAGTGCTGCCAGTGGGTTGGGCATGGGTGCTGCGGTTGAGACCGTCGGAGACATCGGTATACTGTTGTCCGTGTCGTCATTCGTCGGTGTCGACGACGGCTGTGGTGGTGGAGAGTTCGACCCATGTGTCCAAAACGACGAGGTGGGCGACGTCAGCCACCGAAGAATTGGGAACACGAGTGACTTGAAAGGCGGACACGGTTGGGGCAATAAGAAGGCAGGACTCGGGTCCAGTCGAACCAGAATGGCTGGTTGGCCAGGCCAGTATTCGTCAGCGGCCTGGGCCGCGTGAAGTTGGGCTGATTGTTCGGCTGTAGGAAATGAGCAGCGTACATTGAGGGGATCCAGCCCCGGAGGACATAACCGCTCGTTGTTCCATTTCTTATCTACGCAAGTTGTGGGTATTCGTAACGACTCCACCAAGGTATACTGTACACAATCATTACTACGTGGCAATTTCAATCTATAATATTCGGATGCTGCCAGCAACATTTTTACCATGTAAACTAGTGTGCGACACACAATTCTAACGCTGTAGTCGTAATTCTTGACAATTATCGCCGCTCCTACCCGTACTGTGGGGGGTATTTGTAGCCCCCAAGTTGGTTGGCAATCTTGTTTGTTTGCTTTCTCTGACGAGTAATTTATTGGGTTAAGCATATATAAACGAACACACCCTACATGTAGTCAAATCCTATGGCTACAATTCTGAGTCCTCTTACCCAACTAACTACCAGTACTAGTTCAACGTAGCATACCAGTATTGCTAAAAATTTAGCAAGTGCAACCTTGCAAGTGCAACGTTAGGATAACGTTAACTGTGAACTGCTTGACAGTACCAATAGAAACTAGCACACAACCCTGCCCTTGCCTACATTACGATTTTAGAACTACTCACTAAGTTCATGGTTTAAAATGTCAGCACTACTATTCGAGCACTTTGATTGTTTAAAGCACGACAAAGTAAAATCTACAGATCGCAGGCGAGATTCCCGGATACGAAGGAATCTACACCCCGAACGTCATGTGCGTGGTTGATTTTGAACTGTCCAATCACGGCCACCTTAGTCAAAGAAATCTGATTGGCTGACGTGTGTATTTATTCAGTTTAACGATCAGTGTATTTTAAATAAAAATACATCACATTTTAGAGGTGGTTGAGTTTCTTGGGGGGGTCCAGTTTCTCCCCGGTTCGCTGTACCGCTCCATATTTGCCAACGACGAAAATTAAATACTCCATAACACGGAATTCATTCTTTAATAACGTGCACACATCCATTCACATGACAATCATGAGCACAACCTGCTTTTTGCGGCAAAGAAACTAGTTATTCTGAATCATACGCTACGCTACAAGTGTCCCCGGACGGACATGTTGTTCGTAGTTTCATGCCACACAACGCCGCTTTATTCTAAACGTCGTGCTACAACGCTAGTATTACTAGTAGAATAGTAGCGTGTGGAAGGTGAAGGATGAATGTGCAATAGAAGTACCTGAGGACTGTAGTTGAAGTACTACTAGCATTATACTTCGAAGTACGTATTTTGACGTCGCCACGTAGTCCAGAGTTCTACATGTACGTTCCAGTCTCCAGGCTACCCGGTAGACTGTATTACTGGTAACGTAAGTTGAAAACCACAATCGCTGATAATAAGACCATTGACATAGTCATGTTTCTCTTTTAACTCGGGCTCTTAAAAGGCTCCTCCTAGTAATTGCCACACCACGTGGTTTGGTAGCCAGAGCCGTTGAACGAATCGCATTGCGCACGGATATAGCCACTTCGAAAGCAGTGCGAGAGCAAAGCAGAGTAGCATCCCGAGCAACCATTGCACGATCCGGACGAGGACGGTGGCACAGGTTTCGATCCGGATGAGGACGTGGTCGTTGATTGGGCGGTAGTAGTAGGGGACGGCTTGGAGGTCGATGTCGGCGACGGGGGCTTGATGCCCTCCCACCGTTGAACACGGTGACTTCCTTGGCGAATGCGTTGATGCCTTTGTACAATTCGATGCCGCGTTTCTTGATGGTCGACGCGGCCGTGATAAAACTATAGCCCACCACTTCAACCGACAAGGCAGGCTGCTTGAACTCGCGGAAAGCATAATCTGCGAACGTTCCATACGACAACGTCGAGTACAATGCATGCGACGGTTGAGCCTTGTATTCCCATAACTTTTTGCATTCCACGGCCGAGCGCTTGGAACTTTTTGTCAAAGCCGTGGCCGATCGGCTGCTTGGTGTCCCCGTACGGGTACAAGAGAAGCCCCCCATACGCTTGAATGTCCAAGTACCCCTGGATTTCGTCGCGTTTGGCTTCTATCCATGCATTGATGCCCGCGGTTTCCGGTTCACTGAAGGGCTCCTTCCCGGGGTACGTTTCATCGTCTTGTGGAGGGTGTTGGGGTTCTCGAAGGGAGTCGGCCAGTTGCGATTCAAGTCGACGTGGTTGGCATTCTTGCGCTGGAGCCGGGTGCCGTTCCCGTTCCATGTGCTTGCAAAGCCGTCAATGTTGACGATTGGCACAAAGTACAAGTCGTACGCGTCGGCGGCCGTGGGTTTCTCGTTGGCAATATCGTCGAGAATCGACACGAACGAGAACAGAATCGACAAGCCTGCACTCCATTCGCGGGCGTGTTGAAGGGCTTGAAAGTACAGCGACTGGGCGTTGCCCTTGGTCAGCTTGTACCCGTAAATCGTGGCCCCGTTGTACGTCTTGGAGATGACAAACGCGCTAAGCAACGTCGTGTTTTGTTCGACCAACGCATCGGCAAACTTGTAGATTTGGTCGATGGTGCGAAAACAGTTGTGAAATGCACTCGACGTGTACTGTCCAGCTTTGAGGGACGCGATGTAGTTGGCATTTTTTTCGTGGCAAGCGCGGTTGGTTTCGGCATCGGTTTGGAAGGCAGCCTCCTGCTCGAGCGATCGAGCGCGGCCGTCAATACCCGTGACAGTGTTGTTGGCTTCGGCAGTGGCTGCCGCGAAGAGGGCAATGGCACTGAGGAGGGTGAACTTCATGGCGAAAAATGAATAATGACCTAGGCAGGGGTCGTTTGGGTTTTCTGAATATGCAGCCTTGGTTATTCAGAGGTCAGATTTCTCATTCATATTACGTCTCAGGCGGACGTACATATGCATTTTGCCTAGGGCCGGTGACTTCAGCTTGTGAAGGAAACAAGCCAGAGTTTTTGTTCATGGCCCAAGAAGAAGTTATTCAGCTTGGCATACCATGCCCCACCGGTGACGAGTCATCCAGCGAAGTCGGCAACCCGCGTGACTCCCGAAGACTGGACCAAGTACATGCGTTTTGTTCGACGAGCGTGTCGTGCACCAACACCGGTTCAAGGCGACGTCTGGCTTCGACTCATCCTTCACATGCTTCCCGTCAACAGCCGGTTTGCCTACAAGCAACTCACCGACCCTGAAGCCATTACATGCGTTTATGGATGCGGTAATGTCGAAACCGAGCATCATGCCTTCCACACGTGCAATGAAGTCTTTCCGACATGGCAATTTCACGCAAGAGCCTGGCGTTGGTTTGGGGTTCATTTTGACTGGGCCACCATCTCCAACATTGACTCGTTCAATGTCAGCCCGACTTGCGCTGCAAACAAACCTGCGCTGTTCAAGCTATGGACACTGCTCACAGCATCAGTTCTGCACACGATCTGGACACAGCACAACGCCATCAAGTACGACGGCAAGACACCCTGGCCACAACGCGTCTGGGAAGAAACAACTTTCATCGGCTGGATGGCGGCAGTACGGCGTTGGCTCCGACTTCAAGATCCAACCGACGCACTTCGCATCAACGTGCTTGCGCAACTGGCAAAACTCAAGCGCCAGTACCCGTACAACACACTCTGGCTCAAGTACCCCAACTGCTTGATCCTCGAATTTTCAGCTCCAACTCCGTAGCGCTTCAAGCACCCTATTTATTCAACACCCAAAACCACTGTGCTCCAATTCCAAGTAGGACGTACCTGCTCTGGCAATCGGATTCGGGATGAGCCCTCGGGCAACATTAGTATTGATAGCGAATTAGTTATTAATATACCTCCCCTTTGACAGTGAGCCAAAAGAACTGGTCAATCTGGACATGAGATTGTACTACGAGAATGTGTACTCTCGAATCTTATATTTCTTTCCAGAGTAGTACATTGTACTAGTACTAGTACACTCCTTTGATAGTAGTACGTAGTACTTCGAGGTATATACTACAGTATCAGATTACGATGCCTGCTGAGTGATTTTAACTTTACAGCGTAATACTAGTACTAGTATCAATATCAACATACAGTATCAGATTACGAATTTCAAAAGGGTTACCGGTACTGAGCCAAGTGTACTTGGCTCCGTTCGATTGGAAATGGTGGTACTACTACCATTTCCAATCGAACGTAGCCAACCAGAATCATTTTCGTCACACTTCGAAATTCATGTTTTCAAGAACGAAAAATCACGGAACCCTGCGCATACCGGTATGTAGAATACTTCGTAGTATTAGTCGAAACATAATGAATCAACATACAGCTGTACTACTAGTATTGTTCAAGTGTCCACCGTTGCAAGCAGCGGGCGCGAACACTTTGATGGTCCTGTTCGGTCAGAACAAGAACACACCAGCGACCAACAAAGTGTTCGCTGATGTGTCCTTGCAGACGGAACACACCACCACCACCATGGCCACCCACTGCACAGCATGGGACGTGGTCCATCGCAAGGAGCTAGAAACCGTACAGCGCAGCCATGAGTACCATCTTGATGTACCCTTACATGCCCCTACGCATCGGGCGCTAATGTACAGTAAGAGCATCTCCACCGCATCACAACTAAAAGTCATTACTAACGTTACAGTTGTACCTCGTAGTTACGGATACTTACGTTAAGTAAAAAATGCGGACTTATCCGGGTGATTTTGTCCCCATTTGCCTCGGGCATCCCAAAACGTGCAAATTATTGGGATATCCGAGGCAAATGGGGACAGAATCACCCTGTACCGGTAGTACACCATTGAAGTGCCACCGGCAAAGTCTCATTGAGATGTGCTCGCACCAGTTGTTGTGAAAACCAATTATGAGTGGCTAGTCTGGTGTGATAATTTCGAGAGTACTACTGTACTATATTCGTTCGATGACTATGTTGTACTTACTTCGAAGTACACTACTATCTACTCCGGAGTAACCCTGAAAAAGTTTCCTTCGTTGGTGTCAAGAAGGGGCACTTTGGCTGTTCTTGCTTTGGCCGAGGTTCGGTCACTTACGGATAATATCCGGTCATCCGGAATTATCCGGTGTTCTCTTTCTGTAGAAACCGGACTGTTTATGCCCAATCATAGGTCAGCTAAACAGTCCGTTAATGATCATCTTTGGTTTGCCTTCGACCACACAAGTGTTCTTCGCCGTCGTTCCTCCCAAGTGCTACCCCTTTATCGTCCCTCTTGACAGGATATAAGCCGTATCGGTCAATTGTTTGCAGTATTATGTCCTTAACCATGGGTTCTCGGCCTAACTTGGCTTATGCCCATCAACAGCTCTCGCAGTTTCTGCACAACTCGGGTCTTGCCCATTGGCGAGCTGCCAAGCGCGTTCTACGCTACCTCAGAGGCACTTCTCTTCATGGGTTTATGCTCGGTGGCCGGGACTATGTCTCCAAGCCATTTTTGTCCGCCTATGTTGATGCCAACTACGCCATGTGCCCAGACACTCGTCGATGTGTCGGTGGATTTCTGATTCTGTTCTTTGCACGTCAGAATCGCTACGAGCTTCCACCAGAGTTTCCCAGTTGTGAATTTTACAGTACCAAAACATGACGTGTGTAACGTGAGCTACATTCCGCCTGGAAAAGCATGTCTGCTCGATGCGGTCAACGTATACGGTGCACAATTTCTTGGCATGAGGTGGATATCCTGCAGTTCCTTCTTTATGTCCACGAGGATTGCAGCATAGCGGTATTTCACTTGCACCGAAGCTCCCGCTTATTCTACACCTCCTAAGTCATTTCACAACGTCAGACTAGAGTCAAGCCAAGTCACTCGCCACGGCCGTCGCGTCAACTCCATCTGCAACAACACGATTGTGGCCCCGTACCCAGCCGAGTTTGCTGCGTTCTTCAAGCACTTCGAAGCCAAGTTGTTGGGCATGAGCAACGGCGTCGTCAGCTCCACAGCCCCATGATGTTCGAATACGGCCTACATAGAGACATGTTAGGAAGGTGTAGCTCACGAACCACGAGGTCGACGTTGCCGCCGCTAAATGCCGCGTGCAACGCCAGATCGGGCACGGTCGTCGTCGTGGGTGGTGGTGGTGGCACTCGTGCCGATGGTGTCACTACCCTCAATAGGTTTGTCGGTAGACCATCGGGGACCTTCACGTCATCTAATACGAGTTTGACTGCGAAGTGCATTCAAAATTAAGCTTGTGTCCTGTATATGCCGACGTACTCCTTTCCGTATCGGACGCTATGGGATACGCGAGGCATCTTGTCGGGCTTGCGAAGCTTAAACACACCTTTTTCTTCAACCGCACCGTCGCTCGACTATTGCGTGGCCAAGGTGCCGCGATGGGACTTGTCCAAATTTGAGAACGTGTTGACTGATGTCCTGCAGCCGCGCGAGCCGGAGCTCCTTGACCGGCGTCAGGTTATGGCCGCGTCTCGTGTGTATTGCCGGAATGCAACTGACGGCGGCGGCGTGCGACTTGTACGGAGCTGGTTACGTGTTGCACCAAGTGGTCACTTCGGTGCAGATGACGATTTCGACTGGCTTTGATGGGTCGTCGACGTTGTGGCTCGTGCTAGTTTAAACGTGAGGGTCTCGACGTCCCCCATGTTGTAGGCACCTCAGTCTTAACCACGGCTACTAAGCAGAGAGCTGTAACTTTCACCGAAGTGACGCACCTCCTCCCTACCCATCTCCCGCAATTTAAACTGACTCTGACGTCACACCCATGCACAGGGCACCAGCAATTTTGCAACCGCCAATGATAGACTTGACACGGTATCCTTGGCGACGCGCTTCTGGCCATCCTATCCCTCGACGACAAGGCGGTGAGCCGGGACACGAAGCCGCGGCTGTGCTGCCTCCTCTTGTCCAGCCCAAGCTCTTGACTTGTAGGATGATATCGAATGCGAAAGGAATATGCATACGTCAGGTGGAGGAATTTCGTCCAGGCGTTGGTATCATCGGTCATCAGGTACGAAGCAACTGCGATTTGGCATGATTTGATATTTGTAGGCTAATTAATATGAGAACTGGTCAAGCAGTTGCTGACACTCATGAAGTCGGACAAAGATATTGAGGAGTAGCTGTAGAGCGACAATGCACGCCTCACGGCGTTATCCCACCAGCGTCGGGGGTGGTGATCACCACAGGACGTTCCACCTTGCACTGTAGAAAAGGTGTCGCCACATTATTCCACTCGTCGATGGCAAGCCGCCTGAACCCCAGGAATCTATAAAAATGAATGTGAAAAAAAAACCATATTAAATATGGTAATCAGTTTTCACACTGATTAGAACAGAGGAAGGGTTATTACTTGACTTAGAGCCATTCTGGTAAACTAGCTAAATGGTTTCGGAGATGAAACTAGTTCTAACTTGGCTATTCCTAATGTCAAGACTTGAAAGCGCGCCCAACGAGGGAAATGCTTTTTCGGCCGTAAGGCCCGGGGGACTTGTGTGTCTACGCCATGCGGCTGTCGGCGCGTGCCGATCGACAGCCCGGCTTGGGCTCGCTGCAATGGGTGTTCCAAATGGTGCGACTGGACTTGATAATGTCGGCGGAGAGGCCGTACTGGAGCTTGGATGCGGCTGGACGCGAGAGGCCAATGACTGCGGTGAGGATGTTATGGTTGGCGGGGGCGACGGAGCCAAGGGGGACGTAAACGAGCGCGCAAGAGTACACTTCGAAGCCTTGACGCACGAGGTGACGGCTGAGGGGGGAGTACTTGTCCATCTTGCCCTTGGCGGTCTTCTCGAACACCGTGTCGCCGTCGTGGAGTTGGTCGTCTTCATGGGCTATGGCCAAGTCGCAGATGATCGCCGTCTTCTTATCTTGATCGATGAGTTGAAGGTCCGGCTTGAGCGTTGGACCGTCGTAGCCTGGTTCGCATTGCTCAAAATACTCTGGTGCCGTCCACCGTGGCAGCATATCATGTGGTACATCAGCTGCCTACCTTGTCCCAGCTGTGCCAGCGCCGGTGCCTCGATCAGCGGGGTCAATGGAAGTCATTCCAACAGAAACCCCACCATCATCGAGGAAAGTCAACATAACCATCGAAGTTTCCATAACGCGTGACTAGGCAGGAGCACGGCGCCGCGCAAAAAGCGTTCGAAATGGGGCAGCTGCTCGTGCGTTTGTCACTGACCGTTACGGGACTGGCGTCTGCTGCTGCAGCGTGTAATTGCCCAGAATTCAGAACAACACAAAGTTCGTCACTTCATCTGCGCATAAAGTTGTGATCCAAAAGGTGAACATCTTGATGCGTAAGCTACGTCAACGCCTCTGCCACTTCCTCCGGATTGCCAACGACCGTGGCTCTACACCCCATGATGCTGAACGCACCGTTCTCAATCAACATGGTGGCCATGCCTGGAAACCCAAACTTGCGGTATGTTTTTGGCGTTGGGATTCTTTGCACTGCATCAACACCTCGTCCACGAGTCTCAACCATTCCCTTTACTCCGTCCAATTACTTCACTCCATCCATTTCACAATCATCAAATAGCCGCCCAATTCCATTCAATACAACGTTGATGTCTTGGAACTGTGAGATTTCGGGATGAGGCGCACTACTAATATTTATACTTGTAAACTTGAATATCCTTTCAAACACAATCTTCAAGTGCGAAATTCGTGTCTTTTCCGACATCTTGATATTTGTAAGGAACTTATAATAAACGATGGCTCAAGTTCAACATGATACAACTGTCCTGTCAAACTTTGTATCAATTGCCAAAAGCAGGCAACTTTTGAATTACGAGCTACACTGTACCGCGACAAATATATCCGACAACTATACGTATACAGATATATATATATATATATTGTGCATTTCACCCAAATTTGGACTTGTGAATCATTTCGCCAAATAGCATTCGAATCCATTTCATCAAATTTAAGCTTGTACAAACTATACTATACACATATCCGTATGTATATGGTTTTGCCCAATGCGGAGGGCTAGGTCGAGTTAAACGTTTGGATTGGCAGAAATTCACAAAGCGTGATTTGATTGGCTTGGGCGGTTCTTTAATCCATTCTCTTATTCGAACATGCCGAACTTGTTCTAAACATGTTCGTACGCGATAATATCAAAGAATCAGTGTACTGTATAGGTAGTTGGTATACATTAACGTGTGCACCGTGTGTGAATTAGACTCATTGCATTGGTACTGATGGAATCAACCACTCTAGCGGTGAATCAATTATATGTTACTCGGTCTGTGACACACGGGACTCGGGCAAATATGTGGGAAAGCCTAGATCAGTTGGTTATACTGTACAGTGCTCGCAGTGAATGTCGCCTGCCCATAATCCGTATGAACGAGCCGAGACAGTTGCGGTATCGGTTACCAGCGGTATGGATTGCCAGCGTTGATCCTGCAATTGTCTCGGCTCGTGGAACCT